CCCTCATAGCCTCCCAAGCTGCCTTGGGCCAGGTTCTAGGGAACCTGCCCTCATTTCTGTTGCCCCTGCCACCCGTTCAAAGGCACTGTGGTCACAGCTGGGGCCCCAGACTCTGCAGGGCCCCAGCGCACGGTGGCTCGAGCAGACTCCACCCCACAGCCAGAGCAGGGCAGAAGGGGCTTCGGCCCCCCAGCAGGTGCCCAGAGACCTACATTGCTTCAGATTCCTAAATGATAAAGTAGGTTTGGTCCTGACGTCCCTGTCTGGTCCGCCATGTGCCCTTCCCTAGTCTCCACCTGAAAGTCCCCCAAGCGGAGAGGGTGTGGGTTGGGGGCATGCAGGGCAGGCTCTGGGGCCTCTGCCCTTGGGCACCAGCCCCTGTGCGCAGAGCTGAAGGACTCGCTGGACAGGTCTTGCTTCTGCCCATGTTTCACATGATGGCCTTCCATACCAGGGCACTTGTGGGGACGGTGTTGGGACAGAGGTGGCCAGGACTGAGGGCACTTGGGAGGCTTCGGGGCTGGGCTGGGCATGCCCCACGCTCTTGTTCATTGTCCCTGCAGCCCAGTGTGCTAGGAGTGCTGTTGGATACGGTTCTGGCCGAGGCCCTGGTGCCAGCAAAGGTCTCTAGAGGCCTCATCCCCCTGTGACAGTGGCCTTCCTTAGGGTGGCCTTGCTTTGAGTCCTGGTTTCTGGAAGGCAGTGGTCTCCCTCTTCTAGGAAGGAGGTTCTGTGATACAACTGGCCCCTGGGCAGGTGACCGCCCGGCCACACAGGCCATGGTCAGGGTTCTGCTCCGGCAGTCGTAGAATTCTTCATTGTTGAATGGGGGCCTGGCCGTGCACCAGGCTCCATAGGTCCCTTGGTCACCTCTGCCTTGGCCCTGGAAGGATCGTGGCTCCCAGCCCCGCCGCTCCCTCTGCCCTGGGCAGTGTTTCCAACTCTCAGGGCCTTGGTCTCCTATCTGAAGAGGAAGGGGGAGCGTTCCTAGAGCAGGAGGCAGAGACCCGGCCATGGGCCGCCGCCTGCAGGCCAGCCCCAGAGCCAGAGCCTCCTGGCTACAGGTGGCTGCCCTCGAGGAGCAGCTTGCTGTGGGCATCTGGGAGGGGGCAGCATTCTCGGTGGGGTTGTGGGTGCTATAGACTGTTCCGCATTGGAAGGGCCAGGTGACAGCTGCTGTCCTCCCCGTGTTCTTCCCTGTCATTTTACAGATGTGGAGGCTGAGGCCTGGGCACTCTGGGATCCCCGGGCACCAGCTGGTCACTATAGGACCACAGCAGGAGCCCAGGTACCTGGGCTTTTCTGTACCCCTGTAGTCCCTTAACAAGGGTAAATAAGAAAGTAGGTTTGGTCCAGACGTCCCTGTCTGGTCCGTCGTGTCTAAGTCCTTTAGCCTCGATTTCTCTTGAACTGGCTCCTCTCGCTGCCCATCCTCTTGGGAGGAGCCACAGAACACAGGGCTCTTGGGTCATACAGCGCCCCACAGAGGCCAGGCATTGGGTCCCCAAGACCTGTGGTCCCTCTTGGGAAGCACTGTCCTGAGGTGGGCATGGCTGGGCCCTCCGTGTTGTCACCTGACACAGCTGCAGGGGGCGCAGGTGCGGGTGCCAGTCAGTGTGCGTTCTGCACGGGTGTAGACAGTGTCTACCCCGACGCTACGTGTCCCCGTGCCTTACACACCCCATCCCCAGGAACAGCTTTGCTGTGGCTGATCTCCAGCTTCTTGCCTGCGTCTGTGTGGTTCATAAGTGGGTCATCTCTCGTCTGAGGGGCCCTCGGCCCTGCCCCAGGGGTTCCTCTCTGGTCTCTATTGCTAGCATTTTGGCCTCTCACGTTTCTGGCTATTTCAGAGCGAGAACAGATGACGGGGGCAAGTGTGCCTGGCCCATGTGCGGGTCTTGGTCGCACCTTTGGCTCGGGTGTCGCCAGGCAGGTGTGGGAAGGGGAGCAGTCCTAGGGGTGCAGGGTCAGGCTGGCCCAGGTGTGGGGGGCACGGCTTTATCACTCATGGTTCTCTGCTCAGCCTCTGTGAGGGCCAATGACTCACGAGGTTTCCAGACATGGACCCTGCGTCGGGTCTGTGGAACGCTTGCAGGCCCTTCGCCCGGTTTTTAGGGTTCGATTTTTTTGGTTCATTTTCCTTTGGGTCTTCTCATTACCGAAGTGATTTACGTGTCCTCGGTCCCAGTCCCTGGGATGTAGGCCATGGCTCTCGTACTGTGGGCAGCTTCTGCCACCAGGCGTCCTTTGATGAGGAGGCTCTTCATTTTAACGTCGTCACTGTCATTTCATCTCCTGGTTGGCAGGCCCTGGCCTCCTCCCAACTGCAGACCCCAGGCCCTTCCCATGTGGCTGCACTATCCGTCCAAAGTGGATCCTGGTGAGTGGCAGAGCTAAGGTCAGAGGCAATTCTTTTCCATGTGGCAGTCACTCGGCCCAACGTCATTTTCTCCCAGGTCACCTTCCCTACCCTGCAGCACTATCGGTGACGGGGGTCATGTGGCTGCAGGAGGGTGTCACGTGGCTGCAGGTGCGGGCCTGCATCCTGCCTCTGTTCTGGGGCTCTGCGGTAGCTGGCGCCTGGCATCGTCCTCATGGTGGCCACGGCATCAGTGACCCTTTGC